ATTTGAGTGATAATTCTGTCTTATGCATGGCTGGCCTTGCTTTAATTAATTTCTGATGCTTTTCTTCAATGTGAGTTGTTTCTTGTGTTGTTTGTATTTTCTGCAAGCTCATTTTTAATGGAATGTTTTCCTATGTGGGTGTTTGGTGTGTGCAGAGTGGAAAGTGGTTTTGTATTTGAGTCTGATGAGGTCCTTTGGGTCTTACAGATCCGGGCCAAGTTGGCTTTTTAAAATTATTGGGTTAGAATCCTACTGAAACTATTCGAAAATATTGAGAAAAAGGGAATTCTCCCTAACTCATTCTATGAAGTCACCCTAAAGCCAAAACCAGGAAAGGATATAACAAAAAAGGAAACTACAGACCAATATCCCTGGTGAACACAGATGCAAAAATCCTCAACAAAATACTAGCTAACTGAATCCAAGAGCACATCAAAGAGATAATTCACCATGATCAAGTGGGTTTCATCCCAGGGATGCAGGGATGGTTTAACTTATGCACGTTAAGAAATATGATACGTCACATAAACAGAATTAAAAGCAAAAACCATATGATCACTTCAATAGATGCGGAAAAAACATTCAATAAAATTCAGCTTCCCTTTATGATAAAAACTTTCAACAAACTAGGCATAAAAGGGACTTACCTCAAAATAATAAAAGCCATATATGACAAACCCACAGCCAACCTCATACTGAGTGGGGAAAATTTGAAAGCACTCTCCCCGAGGAATGGAACAAGACAGGGATACCCATTTTCACCAATTCTATTCAACATAATACTCGAAGTCCCAGTCAGAGCAATCAGCTAAGAGGAAGAAATAAAGGACATCCAAATTAGAAACGAAAGTCAAACTATCACTGGTCACTGATGATATTATTGGAGACCTAGAAAATCCCTAAAGACTCCTCCAAAAGACTCCCAGATTCGATAAACAATTTCAGGAAAGCCTCAGGTTAAAAAAAGTCAATATATACAAATCAGTAGCACTGCTATACACCCACAATGACCAAGCTGAGAATCAAGTTAATAACTCAATCCCTTTAATAACAGTGGCAAAAAAATATGAAATACCTAGGAATATGCCTAACCAAGGAGGTGGAAGAACTCTAAAAGAAGAACTACAATACAAAACACTGCTGAAAGAAATAATAAATGACAAAACAAATGGAAACACATACCATGCTCCTGGATTCATAGAATCAATATTGTGAACATGACCATGCTGGCCAAAGCAATCTACAGATTCAATGCTATTCCTATCAAAATACCAACATCATTTTTCCCAAAATTAGAAAAAAGGATCCTAAAATTCATATGGAACCAACAAAGAGCCCAAATAGCCAAAGCAATCCTAAGCAAAAAGAACAAATCTGGAAGCATCATATTGCTGAACTTCAAATTATACTACAAGGTGATAGTTACCAAAACAGCATGGTATCGGCATAGAAGTATACACATAGACCAATAGAACAGAATAGCAAACCCCGGAATAAAGGCAAATGCTTAAAACTATCTGATCTTTGACAAAGTGTACAAAAACATAAATTGGGGAAAGAACACCCTATTCAACAAATGGTGCTGGAAAAACTGTCTAGCCACATGTAGAAGAATGAAACTGGATCTCTCTCTCTCACCTTATACAAAAATCAACTCAAGGTGGATCAAAGACTTAGATCTTAAGACCTGAAACCATAAAAATTTTAGAACATAACCTAGGAAGAACTCTTATAGACATTGGCCTAGGCAAAGAATTAATGACTAAGACTCCAAAAGCAAATACAACTAAAACAAAAATAAATAAATGAGACCTAATTCAACTAAAAAGCTTCTGTGCAGCAAAAGAAAGTAAACAGAGTAAACAGACAACCCACGAAATGGGAGAAAATATTTGAAATCTATGCATTCAGCAAAGGACTAATATCCAGAATCTATTATACAAGGAACTCAAATTACCAAGAAAAAACCAAATAATTCCATCAAAAAGTGGGAAAATGATATGAATATACATTTGTCAAAAGAAGACATACAAATGGCAACAAACATATGAAAAAATGCTCAACACCACTAATCCTCAGGGAAATGCAAATCAAAACCACAATGAGATACCACCTTATTCCTGCAAGAATGGCCATTATTAAAAAGTCAGAAAACAATAGATGTTGGCATGGATGTGGTGAAAAGGGAACACTTATACACTGTTAGTGGGAATGTAAATTAGTACAACCTTTGTGGACAACAGCATGGAGATTTCTTAAAGAACTAAAAGTAGATCTACCATTTGATCCAGCAATCCCACTACTGGGCATCTGTCCAAAGGAAAAGAAGTCATTATATCAAAAAGACACCTGTGTAAGTGTATTTATTACAGCACAATTTACAATTGCAAAGATATGGAACCAATCTAAGTGCCCATAAACCAATGAGTGAAGAAAATGTAATGTGTATACCATAGAATAATACTCAGCCATAAAAAAGAAGGAAATGTCTTTTGTAGCAACTTGAATGGAGCTGGAGGCCATTATTCTAAGTGAAGTAACTCAGGAACAATAACAAAAAACATGTATGTTCTCACTTATAAGTGGAAGCTAAGCTATGGGTATTTAAAGGCACACAGAGTGATATGGACTATGGAGACTTAGAAGGGGGAGTGTGGGAGGGTGGTGAGGGATTTTAAAACAACTATGTATTGGGTGCAATGTACACTACTCAGCTGACAGGTGCACTAAAATCTCAGACTGCACCACTATACAGTTCATCCATATAACCTGAAACCACATGTACCCCAAAAGCTATTGAAATAAAAATAAATAAATATGTTTGGCAAGAATAAAAAAAAATTATTGGCTTGGAGTGCCTGCTGTACATATAAGCGGTATGAATTCAAGCTCCTCGACCACGTATGGCATGAGTTTATGGTTTGACTTTCTCATGGATGTCTTTTCCCCCATCTACAGCCCTGTGGATGGCAGGCTTTTTTTCTCATCTCCTGCACTGATGAGAAACGTTTTTCTAGTTCTTGTCACATGGTCGGCATGCCTCTGGGAGGTCCCAGTTTGTGCAGGGAGTTTAGTTGCTTCTCCTGCCTTACATGAGCTGTTATGTCTTCTCTGCTTGCAGGGACGGTGAACCCAGCTGGAGCCACTGAGGCCCTATTCTGCTTCACTTTGGGCTCCTGCTTAGTGCTGTGCTCTGGACATCTTTCTCTTTTCTGGAATGTGAGGACTTGCTTTCTTTCTCTTGAACTTGATTATATATTTTAAAACGTTTCCCTTTTTTTGTATATGGTTTTGCAGGTGGAGAGGCCCTTCTGCATCACCTCAGCCCATATTGCTGCACCTTAATATAAGAAACAGAGACTAAGGGGTCCATTGGGATATACACTGCAGAAATAGGAAGAGAAAGCCCAGAAGGAGCTGGGAGGAGCACACAGTAGAAGAACAAGGAGAGAGCTGGTCCCTGGGAGCCAAGAAAGAACAGCTTTTAGAAAGGTCCTTTTGTGGGATGTGTGGCCAGCTTGTCCCAGATGTGGCATATTGTTCACCTTGCAGACTCAAGAGGCTTCTTTGAAATGAAAACTCAGAAGCACAAAGACAGGGAGATAGGCTGAATTTATAAAGGGAACCCAAGGTACTGCACACTGTCTCTCTCAATCTCCCTCCCTCCACCTAGCGCTCTCTCTCTCGCTCTCTCTCTTTTTCTCACATTACTCTCCAAGGAGAACTGCTTAGGAGTAATTTGGAAACTTCTAGCTGCTCTTATGAACCTGGGAGGGACTCTTCCCTGCTTCTGTACCAACACCCACCCTGCAGGGAGCTTCAGAGGCTGCAGGAGGGTGGCGTGGTTTTGCATGCTGCAGGTCGGCTTGCCTGCTCTTGCCCTTCTCTCAGTGTCTGCATCTGGTTACTTCGAGGATGCCTGTGACATCTGTGGTAAGAGCAAAACCCACATTGCTCAGATCTTGTTCTTTCCTTTCCCTTCCACTCCTGCTGGACTACTCTTAGCCATTATCTCTTTGAATAGTGCCTTTCCAGCATCCTGAATCCCACAAACCCACACACTTCAAGGTTCTTTTTTAGGGTCCAATTGGAAGGCATTTGGGCTTCCATTTGGAGGAATCTCAGTTCGGATTTTGTGGATTTTCATGGCTATAAGGACATCTTGCAGCTTGGAATGTATGTCAGCTGTGCAGGGCAAAAGAAGCTGTGTGCATATGTCTGTGTGAGCATGCAACAAGAAGGCTTGGCTTTTACACCACTTCCTAAGTTTTCAAACAGTGACCATCTCATATCATCTCTCTACAGCCCTGGAACTGAGTAATGCTGATATCAATATTCCCATTGTACAGATGCAGAAACTAAGCCTAGAGAGAAGAAATGACTTACCCAAAGTCCTCAGCAAGTTAGAAACAGAGCTGTGTTTATTGTCCAGGCATCTGACCTCTGAGCCTTGTGCTCTTTTCTCTGCTGCACATTGTCCACACATGTTTGTGCAGGCTTAACTGGAGACACCCACTTTCTGTCTACACCCAGGTTTCTGTCAACCTGATCACAAGCATCCCATGAAGCCTCCCTGCCCCTTGCCCCACCCCGTGATGGCATGCCATAGGAGAGACTTCGTTCTCTCCTCCCTTTTCTCTCCTGGCCCCTGTGTCTTTTAGATATTGGCTACTGCTGCTGGCAGACCTCAGACAAAGGCAAATGAATTGTTGACCCAGCTGAGAGAATTTATGACATTATATTTTAAAGCGAGTCTGGGTAGAAACAATGGCCAACATCATCTTTCTTGGCATTACTTTTTATTGAATCTAGGCTTACAATCTTTAAATAATTTGAATATAATGCTTACAATATACAGTTCTTTAATCATACATATATTTCTTCAAAGCACAAAACTAGAAATTAAAATTGAAAGGCTATACACGTATATATTGCCATAAATCTAGAACTATTTTATAAAAATAGAACTCAAATATTAACTTTATGTATTTTAGCAACTTAGCAGTATTGTAAGGTGGCCACATACATATGCATCACTGTTCCAAATGACTATCTCATTTTCCATCTCTTTGGAGACACCTGGAGCAGGCTGCTTTCCCAGGATCCCCGTAGAGATGCCCTTGGCCATGGCTCAGTGTTGCCGTTGCATAAAGACTCAGTGCACCCGTGTATTATTGGAGGGGGAAGACCAGCTTCCAGCCTCTTCCTCAGAGAGAGGAAGTGTTCCCTCCTGCCAGGCATTTACTGTTTGCGTTTCTCATAGCCCTCACAGTGCATAGTTTGATATCCCAATGTGCAGAGTGAATTACCTTTCCATGTGCTTGGAGCAGATATGAGTTTGGGTCTGTCATATCAGTGTAAATAGTTTAAAAGAAAACCACCCAAACAATGTCCACTGGGGTAATGTCATCCCAAAGGTAGGCCCCATGAAGCCTCCCTGCCCCTACTCGACCCCGTGATGGCATGCCATAGACTAGGAGAGACTTAATTCTTTCCTCCCTTTTCTCTCCTGGCCCCTGTGTCTTTTAAACATTGGCTACTGCTGCTGGCAGACTCCAGACAAACACAAATGAATTGTTGACCCAGCAAGGTCCTCGACACACATGCTCTCCAATCCTCATAGTCTTGCAAGTGGGGACATTCTTGTTCTCATTTGACAGTGGAGGGAATTGAGTCTCTGGGCATGCGTGTCATTTGGCCAAGGTTGGTGGGGCTGCCTGGTCCCATAGCTGGAGCTCTCTGTCTGCCCAGAGATCCATGGAGGGAAAGGAACCAGAGGAGAACTCGGATCTGCACTGTGGTCATTTGGAAAGAACAGACAAGTAGCTTTGGGCCAACTTACAGCAAGTGGGCTGCCTTTCCCCAGAAAACCCCAGGACCCTTGTGCTGCAACTTCCTAAGCAGAGCAGGAAGGTGGCTGTGGGAGGGAAGGAGCATAAATCTACAGGCCAATGACTTAAGTTTGTATGTTCAAAGGGCGGTGCCCAAATCTCTCACAACATGTAATAGAGATCCTCCATCTAAAACCAGGGGTTCAGGGACTCACTTCTTGAGGCTGCTTGTGTTTTCAAAGAGCTGAGTAAAGGTCAAATGCCCACCCCACCTCTGCTGGCCTATGACAGTCCAGGTCAAAGCATGGAGAGCCTTCACAGTGGCCCAAAGAAGAGAAACCTACAGGATTCCTGGGCTAGAGCAGAGTGCTCAGCAGGAAGCAGCAGGATTGGAGGGACGTGCAGCAGAACACACAGGCTCTGTGCTGTAGATTTCTTTGGTTGCTTTCTCACTCCCTTCCCCTGCCCTTTAGACTTCCCATAAAAATGTGCTCCAAAGGGAAGTGCCTCTTGCATCTCTTCTATGATCACAGTCTCTCCAGACATCTCAACTCTGCCTGGGCTGACCTGTCTATCCTGCCCATGCTGGAGCTGGAGCTGGGGGTGGAGCTGGAGCTGGAGCTGGGGCTGGGTTTGACTCTGGATGAGGCTGTGCCCTCCTACCAGCCCTGCTCCCTGCCAGCTGTCCCCTCAGTCCCTGAGGCCAGAAGAGAGCCCTGCTCTAGGCTCTACCACATGGGTTTTTGTCAGAGTCCCTGGATAGCCTGCTCCAAACAAAGGAGCCCAGCTGCCTAAGGATCCTGCTTGAATCACTAATATTTTCTGAAATTAATGTCAGGGTGGTTTTCTTAAAAATCTCTGTCCTAAAACAGATTACAGAAAAACCCAAAGTAACCATCTCTCTTCTCCACCTACTGGAGCACGTAGGAGGGGAGGAGAGGGGAAAAGATGCAGAAAAAACGCAAATGGCAGGACCCCAGGAAGGGGCCAGGTCCTTTGCAAACCCACCGGCACCAGGCGCCATCTGCTTGGGGCTGTGCAGTTTACTTTTCTTGGACTGGCCCTGATGCCGTCTGCTAAGCAGAGAGTGGCAGCAACTCCAGGGCAGTCACAGGTAATTTTTTTTTCCTTTCAGAATAGCTGGACACAATTTTCTGAGCTCAACAGAAGGCTGCCCCTGGGCACGAAAGCAGAAATGTGTTTGTGGGCCCAAGTCACTATATTTTAAATGGACTTGGGCTCTGTGGTGTGTTTAGGAGGAGCGGGTGCTCACAGGACTGTACGGCTCAGTGGAGGCACTGAGAATGCCACGATTGGAATGCTCTGAATCTCAAAACACAGCCTCCTCTCCCCACAAAAAGAAAAAAGGTAATGACCTGGAGTTAGCCTCTTCCTTCCTAACTCATTTAGGTACATTGCATGTAATAAGGTGACTCATCCTTTCATTGGGCAGAAGCATCACCTGGACACACTAGGTCCTGCTGGAGAAGGAGACATGAACACTAAGCTTCCGAGGACCACAGGAGTCCTCATTGTGGCTCGCCAGTGCATCCAGGCTGCCTCCGAGCCAGGCTGGTCCCGTTTCCCAGTGCACAGGCCCAAAGGCACCTTGAAAATGACGATTCCCTTACATAAAGAGGGGACCCTTTTCTCCTAACACTCCAACTCTGTGTGATGTCTCTGTGTGATCTGTGGGTTGGACTCTGAGGACAGGGAGCTGTGGCAAGCTGGGGTAAGGGATGGGAGCGGGGATCGGCAGGGTCTGGCTGCTCTAGAGGCTGAGTTTGGGAGGTGAAACCTAGTGGCAGGAGTCAAGGTTGGTGTTCCTGGCTGGGCCTCATGGCTTTTTCCTTTGTTGCCAATGGCTTGCTCTCGGCAGGTGGCGGCAGACTGCAGAGGTCTCTCATGTCAATGAGACTTTCTTCCACAGCTTTTGCAAACTTGCTAGAAGAAGTCTCTTTGCAGCTGTGAAAGCTGGAGATGCAGAAAAGGATGGTCTCTGGCTGGGGGTTGTAGCAGGCACCATACCCATTTGGGACCACAGGACCATAGCAGCAGAACATCTCCATGGTTGTGGGCACCTGGAGGAGAGGACAGGTCAGAAGCTGCTTGTTCTGGAATGCAGCCTGCCAGCGTTGACTGGGCTTGGCTTCTCTGACTGTTTTCCACCTGGGGGTTTGACTGAATTAACCAAATCAAGTGATTGCTTCAGCATGGATGGACACAGCCAGAGTCATAAAAACAGACCCATCTAACTGCATGATATCAGAGGACGAGGGGCCCCAAGCCCACTCCCTGGTGTGCAATCTGCTCTACTTGTGGAGTTGGAAGTTCCCATCGTGACCTGGTGCTGGGTCTTGGGCTGAGTCTCCCCTTCACTTGGGGGCCATTTAAGGCATGGAGGCAATCAGGTAATTTACTAAATGGTCCCCTGGTGGCACCCCACAGTTAGATGCTTTCCGGAGGGAGGAATTTATGAACTGGAGGAAATCTGGCCCATCCTCTCTGTCGATTTTCCCCAGATCCTTAATTACTGTCAGTATTGCTTGGCTGCTCTGATTTCTCCCTGCAGCCTGGCCATGCCCAATTACCCAGCATTGGGTGTTTCAAAGATTGCCATCAACTGGAGTTTTACTTATGCACCTAGTATGTTTTGAATTCAGAGTGCTGAGATTTTGTAATCCAGATCACAAACCAAGAAAGTATGTTTCTGAAAGCATTCAAGCCATAAATGCTACTTTCCAGTTGGAAAACAACAAAACCCCCACACCCCAGATTAATTTTATTAACTGGTCCTATGGAAAAAAGTAGAAAGGATTCTCGGGCAGGTGCAGGGCCTGGTTTGTTTTAAACCTACAGGTTCCTGGTGTTGTGTGCTTAGGCCTTCGGAAGTGACACTGGCTGTTTTAATGGGGCAGAACAAACCATTAGTCTTGCTAATAGAGTCACCGCATTGTCAGATAAATTTGCCGTGCAATAGCCGAAGGCCACAGAGCCATTCCAAAGCACTTTTTGCCCATGGATGATTTCCTGAGAAATTTATGGTGCTGTGTTCTGTCCTCGTTTATTCACGTCTGCATGCTCACTGCCATAATGACAACATCCAATTACTGAGTGGGCTTCTGTCCTCAAACACAGCTCATCAACCCCAGTACTGCCCACGTCCAGCTTTTCGCAGATGAGGTGGCATTTTAGTAAATTGATGGCTGTGGGGCATTTCCCCTCCTAAACCACGACCTCTATCTAATGGATTGCATTCTGTCTTTGTGGCAGTGGCCCTCACACAGGACACGCTGCCGACTGGTTAGATGTTGGGCTGGCCATGAATGTTCTGCTGTTGGTCGCGTGGCCCTTTATAATAATATCTGTGACCTATTTAGAGGGCCCTGTCCATGCCAGGCCCTGGACTGGGCTTTCTCCCTACATCATTGAATCTGGCCGAGCCAAGACTTCACTCCAGACCTGCTGGGTGTCAGAGCCCATGGAAACCGCGGTAATAGATTGAAAGGTAGTAAGATGTAACGGTTAGGGCACCAGAATGGGTGTGTTCCTGTACTGTCTCCACCTCGGCTGAGTAGGGTCTGCTGATTACTCCCGTTTAGGAGATGGGAAACCTTCTTTTTTTCTGTTTTTTGAGACAGGGTCTCACTCTGTCACCTGGACTGGAGTGCAGTGGTGCAATCAAGGCTCACTGTAACCTCCACCTCCCCAGCTCAAGCAATCCTCTTATTTCAGCCTCTTTAGTAGCTGGGACTTCAGGCACGCACCACCATGCCCAGCTAATTTTTTAAAATAGGGAGATGAGGTCTCTCCATTTTGCCCAGGCTGGTCTCAAACTCCTGGGCTCGAGCAATCCTCCTGCCTCAGCCTCCCAAGGTGTTGGGATTATAGTTGTAAGCCACCAAGCCTAGTCAGTAAACCATCTTCTAATGAACATTCAGATCATTTTGCTGACAGTCACGTAGTTCAGAAAAAGCAGAGGCAGGATTTGCCTGACTCCAGCTAGTGGGCTTGTTGTCACTGTTCTTTAGAAAGCTTACTGACTACACTACTCCTGGGCGATGGCTGCATGGGGCTGTACCTGGCTGGTGGAGAGGACAAACCGGTTGCTCATCAGGTAGGTTTCATCCATGAACATCTCGGGCATCTCCTTGCACATGGCTCGGGCCAGCTCCCGTAGCGCCAGCAGGTGGTTGTCAATGGCCATCCCTGTTATGGCCTGGGTAGTTGGGGGCAAAGAACAGGAGATGAGAAGTGGGCCCCCTGCAACTCCTTGTTCCCTCCTCTGTAGTCCACAGGACTACTGGTGACTCCAGCAGCCACGGCTCATTCTTATCCAGTGCCTGCTGCCAACAATGTGTGTGAGTGGCTGCTCAGGACTGACCGCTGTACCATGCGGCCTCTGCTCCCGGGCCCTTGCACATTTCCACGTGCACTGAGTGAGTCCAGAGCAGGTTGGGTTCTAGCTTGAGATATCTGAGCTAAAGGTTAGTGAGTCTGAGCATCCCCTACACACCTACACCTGGCTGGTTCTCTAAGTGGAAAGAATGGGGCTGGCCTGGACATCTCAACTACCAACTACTTGGGCAGGGGAGAGAGTTTGGGAAGAAGGCTGTGTGCAGGGCTTGGGGACTGCTGGATCCTGTGCAAGCATTGTGAAGGGCATCCCAGGCTGTCCTGAACAGACTCTCACCACAATCAGCGCTGTCTCCTCCAGTAGGAGCCCAGGGAACAAGAGATGGAGGATAGAGGTTGTGAGATCTGTTCCTGAATCTTGGCTGCTATTTCATGGCTCAGGATCAATTCATTTAAACTGGATCCATAATCTAAGAAATCGTTTTGAGACAGGAACTAGACCCCTTAGCAGGCTCAGCTGACATTTTCAAGGGGAAAGAGGCAGTTGAATGATAAAAGTTCTTTTTCTTATTATCACAATATATTTAAACTTTCATCAAAGGATAGAAATATAGAGAAAGCTCCAGGATGTCAATGTAGGAGGGGTTCATGGAGGGTGGGGTGTCTGGAAGTGGGGCTGGGTACTCATTCTATGGCTCCCCACTTGAGGCTGGGTATGTAGTATGCACATTGGTTTTTTTGAACTACATGTTTATTTGGAGCAATTCTAGGGGCTGATGGAGACTCAGGGGGCCACCCTCACCCATAACAATCACTTTTGGGTCAACATCAGGGTAACTCTTGGGGTTTCACAGTTCTCTAGGATGGCCACTTAGCTGTCAAAGCCCTGCACAGGAAGAAACTTCCCATTCACAATGAACTTGGTATAGGTTTACAAGGCACGTTTAGGGATTTGACAGCTGTTCTTTTTCGGTTGCGAATGAATGCATAAAGATGACAGGCTCTGTTCTCTATGAACGCACCTAATTAGAGGCTGAAAAGACAAACATTACACAACCACAGCTTACTTTAGATGTGCCCTGTTAGGACAGAAGGAAAGAACGGTGGGCCTATCTGTGAAGGAGACTACTCTTTTAATTTCTCTGGTTTCCTCTATTTAATTCCTGATTTGTGTTGGTTCATAGAAGCAGCTGCCCTGTGAACAGTCAACTCACCCCTCTTTTCACCACCTTGGAATAACTGTAGCAAGAGAGACTGAGTTCACAGGTTGTTTGGCTCAGAGCCATGAGTAATAATGAGTGAAATGACTTATAATTCAGTATTTCATTCATTCATTTAGGGAATCTTAATTGAGTGCCTACTATGTGCCTAGTGCCGCAGGTCCTGGAGCCACAACAGAGAACGAGACAGTTGTAGACTTAGTCCTTGTGGAACTTATGGCGTAGTGGGGGGCAGATTTCATCAACCATGCAAAAAAACATGATCATAAACTCAAGTGTAAGGAAGGAAAACTACAGAACAGTGGGAGAGTAAGTGATGGGGGCTCTGGACCACCTTGCCATTGGAACTTCCTTTCTCCATGACCACTGGCAAATATGCTTACCAGTTATTAGGTTTCCTTGCTTCTTTTCCCCTTTCCTTACCCTCCGTGTCCAACCACACACCAGATTCACCTCGTAAGCGTCTTTGTATCTCTCCTTTCCCCAAACCCATCTCTTTGATTTGGTTGTTTTCATCAACTTCAAATTTTTAACACAACCCTATGGCAATGCTTTGGAGGGTGTTTTCCTAGACATTTTAATAAATTTAAAGTTGTTATTGTCATATATTTATATCGTTTAGAAATCCAAATAAGCCAAAAGCCAAGGTCATTTTGCCAGCACGGATTCCTACCCCAAGGAGGTAATTCCTTATAGTCTTTTAGCTATTTCTTTTGGGCATATACTTTCTTTCCTCCAAATATATGCTTAGGTTACCGCTACTGAATTTCTCAGTTTTACCTATAATCTTCTTGTTATAAACAGTGAAATTTCAGCTATTTTTTTTTTAATGGAGTCTCTCGCTCTGTGGTCTAGGCTGGAGTGCAGTGGTGTGATCTCAGCTCACTGCAACCTCCGCCTCCCAGGTTCATGCCATTCTCCTGCCTCAGCCTCTGGAGTAGCTGGGACTACAGGTGCCCACCACCACACTTGGCTAATTTTTTTGTATTTTTAGTAGAGACGGGGTTTCACTGTGTTAGCCAGGATGGTTTCGATCTCCTGACCTCGTGATCCACCTGCCTCGGCCTCCCAAAGTGCTGGGATTACAAGCATAAGCCACTGCACCTGGCCAATTTCAGTTCTTTTATGACCCTGCTCCCCCAGCACACTTCTACTCTCTCATCTTCCCAATAAGATTATGTTTTAACTCTTTGTAGTTAGATCAAGATACAGCATAATTATGTATACAGAACAATATACATAAGTATAATTAAGCAAGTATTCACAGCTGGGTCATGTAGTGTACTATGATTAGATTTCCTTTCTTACTGAATTTTTTGTTTCCCCTAGAATTGACAATGTATAAATTGTTTTTTTACTTCCTTTGCTTTCCATGTATCTATTTCTTTTATTTATTTATTTATTTATTTATTTTTGAGATGGAGTTTTGCTCTTTCGCCCAGGCTGGAGTGAAGTAGCATGATCTTGGCTCACTGCAACTTCCACCCCCTGGGTTCAAGTGATCCTCCTGCCTCAGCCTCCTGAGTAGCTGGGATTACAGGTATGTGCCACCACACCCAGCTATTTTTTGTATTTTTAGTAGAGATGGGGTTTCGCCATGTTGGCCAGGCTGGTCTTGAACTCCTGACCTCAGGTGATCCACCTGCCTCGGCCTCCCAAGGTGTTAGGATTACAGGCATGAGCCACCACACCAGGCCCCATGTATCTGTTTCTAATTGATTCCTAAACATGCAGCAAGAATTTCATTCATTCTCTCACTTCTTGCTTCTTTATGGACTGATTGCTGTCTAGGTCTACTCAACAACTGTTGATTTGTGATCTCCTTTTACTATCATCCTGGGGACAACCCTCTATCTTTTTCTTGTGTTAAATCTTCTGATTTTTTTGAGCCTATGATTTCCTCTTTTATGTTTTATTTTCTCACTTTAGAAGTCTACATTCTCCAGTAGCTTTATGAGAAATGGTGCTTAATAAGTAAAATGTTTGAGACTTTCTCTGTCTAAAAATGTCTTTGATCTATCTTCAAATTTAATGATAGTTTAGCTGGGTATGAAATGTGTGTTGAAGGTCACTTTCTCTCAGAATTTGAAGACACTGCTCTTTTATCTTCCACATTCCAACGATGCTGTTCAGAAATTAATTACTTCTTTTTTATGGATCTTTGTATTTGATTTTTTTGTCCTCTGATAGATTTTATAATCTTCTCTTCATCTTTAGTGTTGTGAAATTTCCTTTGCTATGAGTATTTTCCATCTATTAAGCAAGGTACTTGATGAACTCTCTAAATATGGACACTCATGTTCTTCAGTTCTGGGGAAATTTCTTAAATTATTTTGTTGAGGACCCCCTCCATCATTTTCTCTTTCTGAACAACAATTATTTGGAATATTGTTCTCCTGGACTAAGCCTCTTTTCTCTCTTATATTTCACCTCTTTGTTGTGTTGATATTTTGGGGATATTGTCTCAGATTATCTTCTAATTCTTCCACTGAATTTTTTTCTACCATATTTTCCCCCAGAGTTATTTTTATTTCCTGAAAAATGCTTTTAGTTTTGTATCACATATAGATGAAGTAACTCCTTTTATTTTTCAAAGAATCTCAATGATCACTTTTAAACTGTTCAGTTGTTTCTTGTACTTTTTTCATTTCAAGTTTTTCTTTGTTTGTTTGTTTTTTGAGAAGGGGTCTTTCTCTGTCGTCCAGACTGGAGTGCAGTGGTGCAATCTCAGCTCACTGCAACCTCCGACTCCTGGATTCAAGCATTTCTCCTGCCTCAGCCTCCCTAGAAGCTGGGTTTACAGGCATGTGCCACCACACGTGGATAATTTTGTTGGTGGTGGTGATGGGTTTTTTTTTTTGTTTTTTTTTGTTTTTGTTTTTTTTGAGATGGAGTTTTGCTCTTGTTGCCCAGGCCGAAGTACAATGATGCAATAATCTTGGCTCAGTACAACCTCCACCTCCCAGGTTCAAGCTATTCTCCTGCCTAAGCCTTCCTGAGTAGCTGGGATTACAGGCATGCGCAACCACGCCTGGCTAATTTTTCATATTTTTAGTAGACACAAGTTTCTCCACGTTGGTCAGGCTGGACTTGAACTCCCGACCTCAGGTGATCCGCCTGCCTCGGCCTCCCAAAGTGCTGGGATCACAGGTGTGAGCCACTGCGCCTGGCCTTCTTTGTATTTTTAGTAGAGACAGGGTTTTGCCATTTTGGCCTGGCTAGTCTCAAACTCCTGACCTCAGGTGATCTGCCCGCCTTGGCCTCCCAAATTGCTGGGATTACAGGCATGAACCACTGTGCCTGGTCCATTTCAAGTTTTTTAAAAAAGATATTTTTTAATTAGCAAAAATGTTTGTTGGTGTTGGTTTTACTCTTTTATGTCTTCTCAATGTCTGAGGATCCATGGCTATTTGTATTTAAGGATAAAGCACTGAAAATATGATTAGAAGATTTATGTGTGAAATGTATTTGTTAACCTGAGGGCTTCACTGGCCTTACAGTAGCTCTTCTTCAATATTAGAATGGTTCTTAACTAGCAGCTGTGCCTCTTGGCAAACCACTACCTCGTGTGCTGACTAGGCTCTTTCACTGTGGGCCCCAACTATCAGTTTCTGTGAGTGTTCTCTCTTGGCCCGGTTAATTTTACCACAGAGGAATCTTCTAATCTCCTGCTTGGTGAGGGGTGGTTACAGAGCTAGTTCCCAGTGTGTATGGAGCTGAGTGGGTGGAGGGCTTAGTAGTAAGTAAGAAGACTTTAATTAAGAAGACTTTAATTAACCAATTAATTTCCATACAGTATTCCCTCCCTCAGCCGTGCCTAGTGTTCTCAAGTCTAGAGTCCTTCTGCTTCAGCCTCTCCAGAGAATGAACTTCTAGCTCACCACTGGGGAGAGGGGCTAGTAGCCTGGCTGCCTGGGGTGGTAGAGAGGAACTGAGGGTCTAACTGCTTTTTATATAGATCATCAACTGCTATGGTTTGGATGTTTAGGAGGTGGGACCTTCAGGAGGTGATTAGGTCATGAATGGGTTTAAGGCCTTCATACAAGAGGCTGCACACAGTGTTCAGCCCTCGGCCTTTCCACCTTCCACTATGTGAGGACACAGTGCTTGACCCCTCAGGAGAATGCAGCAACATGGCGCCATCTTGGAAGCACAGGGCAGGCTTTGGCAGACACTAAACCTTCTGGCACCTTGATCTTGGACGTCCAACCTCCACAACAATAAAAGATAATTATCTGTTCTTCATAACTTACCCAGTCTCCCAAGCTTCTCTCACTGTTTGCTGAGTCAGTCGCCATGTGTTCTGCTTTCCAGCTCTAAAACGTTCCTGCCACTCCTTTCCAGTTCCCTTTGCCCTGGTGTATTTATGGCTTTCAGAAATCCCTTGCTGTTGTTTTTGGAGGGTTTCTGAGAGAGTGACAGTAACCCTGTGTGCAGTCCACCATGCAGGAGGAGTTTCTTCCATCAAGAGGAGGAGTTTACATCTTCCCCTTCACCCTGCCCCTGTCCTGCTCCAGTCCAAACACCAGCTCTCCCTCCATATTAGAAAGGTTCTTAACCAGCAACTCTGCGTCTCAGCAAACATTCCCACCCCCAATTGCAACCAGTCCTTCTTCTACCCAGTCACCATAACACACTTTGTAACAGGGAAATCCAACATCTCCCCTGCTCCACTGTCCTTTGCAAGCTGTGCTCTGCTTTTCCTCGAATGGGTCTTATTCTCTTAAGGCTCTCAGCCTTTGCACATGGTACCCTTCTTGAGCCATCTTTCCCTCCTGTGTCTGCCTGACAAGCCTCTCTTCATCCTTTGTGGCTCACATGAAGCACCACTTCCCCTGGGAATTCTTCCTGGCTTTCCCAAGCAGAGAAAACAGTTGGCTCTTCCATGTCCCCTGCTACTTTCTGAGGGCTCTTTTCACATAGGATTGGTATTCACGTTGAAGGGCCTCTTCTCCCAACTACACGGTAACCTCCCTAAGGACAGGGCTTATGGACTTCATATTTTGTTTCCTAGCACCCAGCACTTTGCCTGGCATAAAGCATGAAGACCAAAAAAAAAAAAAAAAAAAAAAGTACCCACTGAATACATGAACGGGTGCTACATTTTCCCCAAATAGAACAAACACTTAAGTATTTAGATGAATTAGGGATCTAGCAACTGTTTTCAACTATCTAGAGTGAAATTTGTTCAGCTCCTTCTCATAGATTATATGATCCTTCAAAGACTGTGTGAGAATGACTTGCAATGAAGGTATTAATGAGTAGTCCAAGTCGCTGCTTATTCTCTATTTTGCTATTGCAAACAATAGCTTTGCAGTACCAGAAAATAAATTATTTCTCTAAACTAGGGAAACATTTCCCTTGCAAGTTTGATTTCCCTTGCAAGTTTGATTTCCCTATTAATTTTCAGCAAAGACTTTTTATTCACAGGTAGTATAAATGAATATACAGAGAATAAGAGGCAAAAGCAGCCCTAGGTGGGAACAGATACTGCCTTGCCTGCGACTGGGGAAGGTATGTGACCCCCACCGCTTGCCAGGCTTGAGCCCCTTCCCCTCACAGTTGACTCCTCTTGTATAAACTGCAAGATGCTATACAGATTAGGTGCTATTATTATCATTATGGTTGTTTCAAAGGGTTTGAAAAGTGGTAACTCATTGTATTCTTGTAAAATCCATGTCAAAAGCAGGAATGCTATGTTACTTAGGTTCTAAAACGAAGAAACAAGAGACTGGGTGGTGAAGTGGCTTTGCCAAGTCCCTGAGTAACAAGTGGCTGGGCCCTCACACAGGGTCTCATGCCATGGTGCCCATTCTGGCAGGCCCCAGGCACAGCTCAAGTGCAGTGTTGTGAGGTGGTGCGACATCACTCACCATGACTGTGTACGCAGTCTGGGCACGGATGGCATCCTTCAGGAGCAGAAGCTTCTCAGAAGCCTGTCAACAGAACACAGAGGCAGTGCAGGGTTTAAAAGGCTGCTCGGAGCCAAAGCGTCTGGTGGTCAGAGGGCTGAGCCCAGGGCAACCCACAGCAGCCTCACTGGTTTCCTGTGGCCATGGGATGGGGCAGGACTTACCAGCACAGCAGCCTTGTGGTCAGTCATGGCTCTCACAAAAGCCAGTGCCTCTGGAGTGGCTGATCTGATGTTGTCCACGCGTCCCTCCTGGAATCGGCGGATGGACGCACTCTCGTAGGTGGGCACCAGTCTTCGGTGGAGCCTGCGTGGGATGAAGGATGAATGGCACGTGGTAATTTATTCTTGGGAAATCATAAACTCGGAAAGAAAAACCGCCTCAGCAAGCTTTATTTTCACAGCCCTGACTTGACTTGTCAGAATATTTCATTTTAATATTAATAGAATTCTAGAGGGAATTCCCAAAGACAACGCTGGGGAGTCTCCCACATGGAGAGCCACGTTTGCTTGTATACACCCGGGGATGCTGCACTGACATAAAATAAAGAAGTGATGGGTAGCGCTTCAAAAATAATTCCCCACCTGGTGGAAAATCTAGAGTTTACTGTGAGACCTGAGTGTTTGAGGAATAGCACAGAATGGAATAATTGTGTAATTAATCATTCCCACCCATGAGGGAATCCTGTTTTATTTAAACTGATTCAAGCATGACCTCTGGAGGGAGGCGGGGAGGGGCCTTAGTGCTGGTGAGGGTAAACGGCTGTCCAGGCCTTCCAGGGGCGACTGGGCTTCTGACAGACCCATGGGCACCATGGCTGTGCCTCACCTCCCTGATGACTATGACCCAAGCAGCAGTGGCCACTTCCCCACCAGCCAGGGGACCCCTCTTTCCTTATGCGTGGGAACTGGGCCAGTGTCCCTGGGCTTGCACCCCTGGCGGGCACACTTCCTTTCTCACCACTCAGTAAGGTCCTTGGTGTTGGGAGTGGGGGAGGAAAAAAGACACAGAGCTTGGAGAGAAGCAGTGACAGCCCAGTGTCACCCAGCAAGTCATGGCCCCACATCTCAGCCCTCTCAGGACATGTCTCTCCCTCACTGGCTGGGCTCGTTGAGGTTTGGGAAGGCCATGTCCAGTTCTGCAGGGTGTGTGATACTGTCTTGCTTGGTAAGCAAGGGAATGACCTTCCTGTACACTCTGACATATTTCCCCAAGACTCTGGCAAGGAGCTCCTGTCCTGGTCCGTGGAGGCAAAAGCCATCACTGGCCAGTCATTGACCAACCCCAATTCAGGCAGTTTCTGGGTTTCTGCTAAATCTAGGGACAGATAAAAACAATTGTGATTATTACAGCTTAGAGCCTGAAGAACGCTGCTCATGGGAAGCAGATCCTCTTTGGCCATTCGATGAACCCAGGAGCCTCTGGCTATGTCCATTCCCGGCCTTGAAACTTGGAAGTGCTCACAGTAGAGAGGTCCTGAGCAGCTGGTCTTGGTGGCATCCCCAGTCGAGGCTCCGGCAGGATGCTGACCTCATGGCCTATCTCGGCCCCATGCCCTCTGAGTATCAGAAGGCACTGACCACCATTCCAAATGCCAGGTAGGTCCTGCAGCATCTCAGTGCTGGTGAGGTTTCTGCCTCTTCAAGTCTCAGCGGCAAGCCCAGTCCTCATATGGGATGACATTGGCCTTCCCCAAGGTGTCCAGACAGGACAGACACTCAAAGCAACTGCATTCATTTCCTTGAGAATTACAGCCCCGCAGGGGGACACTGGGCTGCTGTGTCCACATGAGTGCTGCCTGCTTGTTAGTGAGAATGCCTTGCCCTAGCTTTACTGCAGGGTCACTTTATGCCTTTCATGGAAGTTGCAAACTGAAAGCAGGTTTGAGGGCAGAGCTTTACCGTTCATAGCAGGCATTGATGAGCCGCTGCTTCTGGAGCCCTGGAACTGTCAGGAGCTGGCCCCATCTCCAGGAAGATCTATTTCGAATTTTGGTTTCTTCGCCTCCTGTAAGGTTAATTCACCTCTCTCCCTGCCTTCACTCCTGATTTCCCTACTCTTCACCCCTTCACTGACACACAGCTACCTGGGTCACCAGGTCTAAATCCCAGACCTGGCCGAACCACTCCTGGCCAAACCTCCCGTCTGTGATTCAGTCTCTGGCACCTACTCTGTGCCAGGTATGGTGTGGGTGCTAGGGACTCAGAGGCATGTGAGATGCCCAGAGTGTCAGGGTTGCGGGGACAGTCTAGAAAACAAAGCCAGCAAATCTGCAAACAAGATAATTCACATGAGTAACAATTGCCTGAAAGAAAAAGAAAATTCAGTGTGGTATGATAGAGAATGGGTGGCAAGGGGGCCAGAGGGGGCTGCATTAGATAAGGGGGTGGGGAAAGGCTTCAAGGGATGGAACCTGGGCTGGAAAGGGCTGGTGCGTGTGGAGCGTGGTGACCCCAAGCCCACACGCACACCTTCCGTGGGTGGCAGAGGTACAGCCAGGGCAAAGGTCAGGAGGCAGGAGAGAGCTGGGAGTGTGGGAAGGCCTCAGGTGAAACCAGTCCACAGGGGGCACTTCTAAGCCAGGCTTTTGTTCTAATCCTGATGTGAAGGCACTGGGAAGTTTCATGTGGAAAGTAATTGAGTCTGATTTGCATATTTCAAAGTTCACTCTTCATGAAGACAGCATTACCAGGGGTAATGGTGGAAGCAGTGACCTTAGGGAAGTGCTGCTGTTGGCTAAGCATGAGCCGATGGCAGCCTGGGAGGGGCCGATAGCAGTAGAAGTGGAGGGTAGGTGAGAGACATTTGGAGGAGAATGGATATGGCAGTGCGTGGGGATACGAGAAAGGACGGAACCAAGGATGAGTCCAAAATCTTTGTCTTGATCAGCTGGGGGGCTGCTGGTTCCATTTCCTTAGCAAGATTGGGAAGACTGGGGAGGAACAGGTTGCAGCAATAGAGCTTGGGTGAGGTGGGGGAAGTTGGGATGGAGGGTAGCCCCTTGACTCCAACCATGGTCCATATCCCTTCCTGGCTCTTCTCAGCTCTACAGTCCAGCCCTCTGGAGCTCTGTGTCCCTGTGCCATCACCCAGGCAGTTCCCTGATGGCACATCCTTCTTGTTCTGAGGCTGGATTTGTAACCCAGTTCAGTCTGCTCCTCCTTCAGGCAGCCTCGGTCACTCTCCAGTCTTCTAGACTCACAGAAGGCTGTTCCTCCCTCCAGGATGCTTCTAGACCCTAGATCCTACAGCACCGTGTTCATCAGCCCTCCCGGGTACAGACTCACTCCTCCTTCACTCACCTGTAGAAGGCCAGCTGGAGAGCCACCTGGATGAAGGCATCGGGGCTGCATTTCTGCTTCTTAATGAATGTTTTCCCGTAGTTGTCAAACTTATAGACAATGAAGTCAAGGTTCTTTACTATTCTGAGAAAGGAAAAGAAAAGACGTTTTCATTGCATGCAAAACAGTATGCATGCACCATGGGGCTTCCCTGGGCTTCTTGAGCCTGGTCTGTGTCCTAGCATTCTGGAAGGTGAGGACTTAGTCCCTGCCCTCCAGGAATGCACTGAAGTGTCAGAGACATGCCTTGACCTATGAAAGTGTCAGAACACACACCATGCCAGGACTACCATGACCCAAGGTGAGCTCAGCTGAGCAGGGTGTCGACTCGACTCTGGAGAGTGGGTGGGGAGGTGGCCTGGCTGTGTTAGTGAGGCCGGGACTCACTGTGTCACAGGTGACATGCCCGGGATTTTGTAATTCACTGTCAGAGTAACAGGAACATTTTCCAAGTCTGCACTGAGACTCTTGAGCACTGGCTGGCACCCATATTGAATAATCTCCTCCTCCATCAGGAGTCTGGGGTCCAGACTGACTGCCCACTGAAGCAGTGTCTGGCAAGGTCTATGTGCCTCCCCACCGGAGAGCGCATAGCCTGAGTGGGCACCCGGGCCCACATGCACAGCTTCCGTCGGGACTCCATGCTCCCTGCCTGCCTCTCCTTGAAGTATTCCTCCTGCTCAGAGCAGATCAGCTCTCAGTGGGGCCGGGTGCTGGGAACACAGGGGAACTTGGAGGAGACCCAGTTCCCACGAGTACTTGCCCCTTAGACCCACCTGTTGACAGACTCTTGGGACAGACTGAGCTCACTATCACCACGGCCACCTGGAAATCTCTCCCCCAAGCTGTGCCCACTCGGGCCTCACTCCCTTGTATGGGCCCCCCTTGTATGGGTCCCTCAGGACCGCCAGGGAAAAGCCTCCTGCTTCCCCATCCATGGGCCTCTCCCGGCTCTCCTCAGCCTCTGGAGGGTGGAGCTGGGGGCTTTGGGGAACGTGGGGTCTGCTCAGGTCCCTGGAAGTGAGTGGACTCCTTCACCCGCTGAGGACTCAGCAGCCCACCAGCTCACTGCCCTGGCCCCTGACTTAGCTCCGGAAAAACCCTGCAAAGCTGAAATGTGAGCATCACTTTATAGAACACCTGAGGCCCCTCCATGCCCACCGAAGCCAGGCGCCCTCTCCGGCAGCTCCCAGTGGAGAGGTCCTTCCCACTCTTCAGCTTCCCAGCCTGGTCACACTCTGTCCTGCTCACATGTGCCCTTCCCACAGCCTCCTTGGGGGCGTCCCCATACCCCCTGCACAGAACTCTCCATTGGCTCCTTACCATTGGCAGGGCAGGCTCTAGGCCCATAACAGAAGGACAGTGACACTCATCACAGTGCGGCCCAACTGCCTTTTTGTGGCCCAGCTCTGGCCATTCTCTCACTTGCTGGTCTCCAAACCAGCCTTCATTATTATGAACCTGTACAAGCTTGAAGAAGCTGCCTTTCTGCCTCTTCCCCGTCTGCTTGCACCATGAACTCCTATCCATCCTTCAAGGCCCATCTCTGCAAGGCCCTCCCTCACAGTCCTGACAGAGCTCAGCTTCTATATTTTTGTGGGTTCAGGTCAGCATGGCTGTTTCTTCTTTTGGCATTAATCTTACTGTATCACATGATTTGGCCTGGGAGTCTACTTACTCCACTCCAATATGGAGTGCAGGTCCCATGGTACTTAACTTTCTGTGTTCTCAGAGCCTTACCACAGGCCTGGTGCACACTAGAGTTCTGCATATGTTTGATGAATGAATGAGCAAACCAGTGAATGAATGCATTGATGTTTGCTTACTGAATGAGAGAATCAACAGCTACAGTGCAGACATGGTTGCCAGGATGCGGCTGCCACCACTGCTCCCTGCTGCCCCAGGCCCTCCTCCCTGGGTCCCGTTAGGGCCTGAATGGCCCCCTCCCCTTGGGGAAAAAGACCCCCTTGTCAAGTTGCAGTGTAAATTCAAGCAAATTGAAATAGCTTGAATTCAAATGACCTATTCAAACCAGTTGTTTTTTACTCCCCCCGAAAGCAGGGGATGATCTCCCGGCCTTGACTCTGCTCAGTCAGGTGAAACTGAAAAAAAAAAAAAAAAAAAAAAAAGCCCTGCGTTTGCATTTTATGGAAATGATGGGTACTTCAGCAAGGTTATTTCCCCAGAGTTTTATCTCTCCTTTAGTTTGACTACATTTCCATGAGGGATGGGGAAGAGGTGGAGCCCAAGGGGAGGCAGAGGAGCCGGGGTCTTTGGAAACTTCCAGGGAGCCCTGGGAGCTAGTGGGCAGGTGCAGGGCGGTCCCTAGGTGACCCCTTGAAGGAGACTTCGGTTGTCCTTACCGTTGAAGGTTTTCTGCCGAGGAGGCTAAGTGGCCTTGAATTTCCGGGGAGCATTTCCACCGCAGCCTCCGGGGGGCGGGGAGCTCGCTGACAGAGTCTGCTCGGATCAACTTCCTGCTGCTCTGTGTCCTGCGGGCACAGAGGCAACCTCCTGAGGCTCTGCGGCCAGAGAGCTGTGGGAAGCATCGCTTCTTTGCTCTCTGCAATCATCTTAGATGTCGGTGTTTGTGGCTACGGAGTTTCAGGGGGTACGAGCTGCCCCTGAACCACTGTGCAGATGAATAAACTGAGGCCTCCACCAAAATCATTAAGTGGCAGGGCCGGGGTTCCATCCAGTTTCACCTGACTCCAAAATCCATTATTTCTTTTCATTGTTTTCCTATTAGACCATGTTACACCCTTACAGAAGACTTGGAGAGAAATTTAAGAGCAAGCTGTGTTGTTCTCTTCTACAAGGTTTGTGCCTACTAGGCTTGGTTTAGATTTCAGTGACCCTAGAGTTACGTGGAAGAAATTGAAGACTTGGATGCAGGGAGAAGATTCTAGGAGAGAATGGGTAAAATTGGGAATGGAGGAAGGAACACCGTGTGTTTAAGGCATAGAGGAGCCCTGCTGGGAAGCTAAGGAGGGACCCAGCCTTGGGATTTGGAAACAGTGAGGCTCAGAGAACTCCCCGTGTGCTGGGGCAGCTGTGGGCCTGGCCCTGACTCAGGATAAGCAATAGGTGTCGATGTAGGCTTCCCCTCTCTCAAGGCAGAGGTTCCTGAGAATTCCTTGCCACACTTCTCCCTGACTGCCATAAATCTGCTGCCTCCTATCCATGGCCCATGAAGCACATGATGTCTCATTCAAAGCTGGGTTTCAAATTCATCGTGTGTGTGTTTGTGTGTGTGTGTAGTACACAATTTTTTTCAAATTCATCTTTTGCTAAGACACTTTCCAGACTGACACAGCCCCCAGCGACTACCCATATTTTTTTTGGCCCAGCATGGCATCCCTGAGCTCCAGACTCACATGTGCTTGAGCAGATGCTCGGTGCACTGCACCAGGACGATGCCATCGAATGGGGAGTGTTCGCATACCACACCACAGGTGCCGTCTCGGCCCACCACAAACTGCAACAAGAAACAGGTAGTGGGCGACCATGGGAGAGAGTCAGCATTGCAAAGCAGCCCCTTGGCCCCAGGTCAGGCCCCTGGCTTCTCAGGGCTCCTCTCCTCCAGGGACACCAGAGTACATTATTTCCTGAAGAAAACACTGCACATGATTGCAGTGGCCTGAGAATATGAGAATCCAAGACTGCTCTGCACTCGCGACCTCTGTCCCATAAAGGCTCTGGGCAGTGAAGGTGGAGCCCCAAGTTCCCTGACTGAGCAGTCCAGGGATTCCTGAGGAGCTCATCCCGCATCTGTGCAGCTGCCCTTGGGGGGATGGGCGAGGCCCTTCAGCCCTGTTTCCCGTCATAGCTCGCATCGCAGGCACCATCCTGCAGTGCTTTATGTGACTGTTTGTCTGATGGACGCTGTTTGTTTTGACCACCATTGATGGTCAATAATTGTGTGGAATGAGTGACAATGAAAAATAACAGTCTGTTTTGGATGCTAAGCAGATTCCTAGGGAGAAATGAAATATCCCTTGACAGTAGTGAAGGAAGGATGAAGAAGTAAAGAAGGTGCGAAGAAAGGATGAAGAAGTGAAGGAAAGATGAAGTGAAGGAAAGAGATACGGAAGATGCTCCACGAGTTGCCGCCTGGGCTTCGAGTCAGAGACCCACATGAAGTTTTGCAGCCATGAGAGCCTAAACGAGACACGTCAACTCTCTGGACTTCAGTTTACTGTCCTTGAAAATAGACCCAGTAAGGCCCAGCTCATGGATTGAGAAGTGGATTGGAGAGGAGTTGTATGAAGGATCCATAGGAGCTGTAGAGATTACTTACGACTTTTTTTGTGTGACTTTACAAAGACTCTATTTAGCTGACTTGAGAAAGGAACATACCTAGTGCACAAAAATAGTGGGAAAAGATAATGAGGACAAAATTTGTTTTTTTTTTTAAGCATCGTTATCTGTGAGAGCTTTATTTTGAGGTATTGGTAGGTGAAATTATTTGCTTTAACGTGATTCAGCAGTAAATAAATAATAAATAATCTGGAGGAAACAAATGAACCAAGGTTGGCAATATGTACATGCTGCTTTTGAATATGCTTGAAAATGTCCATGATAAAAGTTAAAATATCCAGAGCTTTTGCTGTCTTTATCAAAATACTCTTTCCTCTGGAAGTCCTGTGGCTTCCTTTCCATAGGGAGAAGCAGCAAGATGAAGGATTAAATGCAGAGAATATGACTTCTTGTCATTATTTTTTTTTATAATGAGGAAGTTAATTGTCTCTCTCTTCCAACAGCACGCACTCATTGTGACTTGTTTACCTATGTAGATAATTTATTTTCATAATTTTATAATTAAATTTTACAATAGAAAACTTATATCAGGAGATATTTTAAACATCTAACAGAAAATTTAGGATTTTTAAGTTTTAGAAATTTATTTTCAAGTTTTATGTTCTGTCACGTTTCTTTCTTTCCTTTTTTTTTTTTTTCATTTTATTTAAAGTGTAATGCAAATAAAGCAGGCTGCCTAGTAGCCCACCACACCCAAGAGATACTCATTCTTTATCTCTAAATGAACAAAACAAGCAACCTTTGGAGTTTTACTAAAGTCTCTACCAGGGCACCATACCATTCCACATGTCCCGAGCTGCCTCTCTCCTGGTCTCCTCTCAATCTCTTGCCTTGTGTGTCAGATCCCTGGATCTTTACTCCCATTCTACAAAGAAACTCACTTCCAGAGCTTCTCCCCAAACTCACCCCTTGCAGACTCTCCCCTCCCACCCCCAGTGTCCCCTGCCTTGCTGTCCTGAGACCAGCTCTCCATCATCTTGAATTCGGGTCCATGCAGCCCTGCTGGCTTCTCCGGCTCGCCTGATAATCTGTCCTGCTGACAAAAAGAACCTGGAGGTCAGCATAGACTAACCCATGAGAGACGGTGGGGAGGGCTGTGCCCACCCCCACATTAGTACTTATCTGTGCCTGTCACTAAAAGGAAGGAAGGAAAGAAGGAAGGAAAGCAGTGTCTTTTAAAAACTGCTACCAAGGCTGAGTTCCAGATTCTGTGTATGTATTATATCGGTTCACCCCGACAGCTGCTCCGTGAAAGATGATAAGCCATTAGCACCACTGTGGAGGCTAAAACAGCTGGCCCAGCAGCCGGAGAGCATATCAGAAATAACGGAACCAGTATGCAAACCAATAAAAAGGAAAACTTGCAGAATGTAGGGACAGAGAGAAAGGAAAACGAGATGTTGTCTAGATATGCTTATCAATGTGAGCTTTGCTAACCCAAAGTAGAGAGATGTTTTGTTTTTGCGTGCTGTTTTATACTATATGGCATATAATATAAAAGTGTAGTGACTTTAAAATAAACAAGACTAGGTTCAGGATTGGCATGTTGGGGGAATAAAAGGAAGATGGCAGAACGGGAATGAATGATTTGACCTTGACTTCGTCCTGTCTGCACGAGTATTTTTCTCTAGGCCAAAATAAATTTCTTGCTTCTAGGCTGACATCATATAAATGAACATATATGAGTTATTTTATCTCACTTATGATCTTTCTTCCATGGAGATGCTGGGCTGTTCTACTTCTCAGGGATTAAGGGTGGTATGTTGAAATCGCCAGGCCATGGAGGTGGACATCCGAAAAGCTGACAGCTCTGGGCATCAGACATTATTCTTTCAGAATGCATTAAGGATTTGTTCAGTGGGGCTGTTGTACTCTCCTACTCCTGGCACACCCCCACCTGACAGGTGTGATGGGTGATGGGAAATGGGCCTCAGGTGTGGCCCAGACCTTCCTGGCACAGGCGGCAGGAAGGTTACGGAGTTTGAGTTGGGTTCAGCCACTGGTTCCTGAGAAAAGTTCTGGCTGGTCCAGAGATTGACATCAACAGCGCATCTCAGACCCCTCCGGCAATCCTGACCCTTCAGACCCAGCCTCTCAGGCAACAGAAGCCAGTGAGTGTGCCTGCCAGATGCAAGCACGTGCGGGCCTGGGCACCGGGCTGTGCCCGCTTCCTGCTCACTCTCTTGCTGGGGGCATGGCTGTGCTCTTGCAGGGCCACCTGGACGGCTTACCTGCAAGGACTTGTCGTACCAGCGATTGGCCCCGTTCTTGCTGTACCCTCCGCCGTGAAGGAGCTGGAGTGCCCTGTGGGTGTCGCTGAGCTCCACACCTCCTGGCGCATCCAGACACACAAGGCAGATGCAGCGCTCAATCATGTCCAGCGAGTCCCGGTTGGTGGAGTCTGCAGGGGAGGCAGGCACAGCCCTAGCACTTGTCCCACTCCAGGCCAGGCTTCCCCGCTCAGAGCCCCAGACAGGACAGGGAAGCCCCATCTTCTGGGATCACACCAAGACCCAGGTCTTGAGTGGCCCTGACCCCCACCCTGCCCCACTGTGGGTGGGCAGTTACGTCAGCCAGAGTGTCCTGAGCCTCTGTCCTATCCCAGGATCCCAACTTATTTGCATGGTCCCTGCAGGAGCCCTGCCCTCCAGCTGTGACTAGCTGTCCCCCAGATGTGTGGGCTATTGGTCCTGCATGCCAAGATGAAGTGGGATGCTTAGACCCTCAAGTCAGCCCACATCAGTGGAGGGGCCCCTAATCCCCCACCCAACAGCACCCTCCACTCGGGCTCCTGTGAGCCACATCTGTGTGTAGGCATGCTTGTTTGTGCTGAACTATGACTTTCAGACATCTAAACTGCAATTTCAAAACAGTTGCAATTTTAAAATTAGGCAATTTCACATTAAAACCTGAAGGAAGTGTATTGCTCACCTCCCTGCCCTCAAGCTGTTGGTTCGGAGGCAGAGCTGTAGACAGAAGGGCCAGGCTGCTCTGAACCTGCATGTGGATGAGCTCATAGGAACAGTTTTGGACTAATGGATCCAAAGGAGCTCCAAGCCTGGCCCACAGCTAGCTTTTGTGTTAGCCTCTACCAATTCCCAGGCTCCTCTAAACATTCTCCTACAGGAAGCAGGTTTCAAAAGGGAATCCCCCTCCCCGGTGGCACTGGAAGAGTACAGACAAGGACGGTTCTTCAGGAGCGGGAGTCAGGCACAGAGGATGTGACTTCACCAAGGACACATGCGTTCCTCCCAGAGAGCACCAGAAGCTGCCCTCCCTGGCAGCTTCCTCCATGGGGCAGAGGGAGGTTCACTAAGCCCACCTGGCAGGACCTGTTGGGGCCAGGCCTGCTCCCGCTGCCTGTTCCCGTTTCTTCCAAACAGGAGTCCATTGTGCTGACGATGTTCTCTCCTCTGCTCCGTACTGGGTGTGGGAGTGCACAGCCTGCCTCTTGGTTTCAAGTTCACCAAAAGTTAAAAAATCCACCCAAAGTTTAACATATTGGTTTAAAATTCCAAGGAGTCACTTCAAGACCCAATGGTGAGGACTGCATATCACCAGGAGAGCTTGACCTTGGGGCTGGATGCTGGGACAGGATGAGGCAGTAGGGGTGAGAGTGCTCTGTGTGTGGGAAGATGGGGTGCATGGCATTTGCAGGCAAAGGTACATTACATGGTAGAGACTCCTAGTTGCACACTACATGTCCTTTCCTTGCTCATAGAACCCCTCCCTGGCTTTTAGCTTGGCACATGGGTAATCAACTAGAGCTATACTTCGCAGCCTCCCTTACAGCTAGGGGTAACCAGGTGTCTAAATTCTACAAGCAAGATCTCAAAAAACTACACAACAGCTTCCGGGGAACCTCCTCAAAGATAACTAGCATGTGCTCTTTGTCCTGCTTCCCACCTTCCTCCATCCTGCTGCCTGGATCGCGGATATGACGGTGGGAGCTCTCGCCTGCGTTTTGCCTTCCTCGGGCGTGTGGACAGCTCCCCTTCCCAGGGTGGTAAGTCAATCTTTAAGACTATCCCCTAGGTCTTCTCAATGCCTGCTGGGTACACAGAAGCTAACTGCACTGGTCTTTGCTCTGCCCAGGTGAATTCTCCAAGTTCACCAGGAGTGTCCACAGATGCCTTTGCCTGAAAGGAGTCTCCAGGCCCCATGCATCCCCTTTCTCTCACTTTTTGCAAATTCTGGGGAACGAGATGTTTCCCACAGCAGACCTTCCACTCTGGGAAGCCAGCCTGGCCTTGGGACATCCTCTCTTCCTTCCTGTCGAGGATGAGGCTTTGGGAACCCTGTGCTTTCAGAACCCCTCCTGGTCCCTATATGGGCAGGATGCTTCCTCACTCTCTGCATGGCCTCTTGGACTTCCCTGCCTCAGTCTCATCAGCATCAAGGATCTGGCCATGCCCTGAGGATCTAAGCATAAATGAGAGCCAGCCCAGGCCCTGGTGAAACTCCCCTTCTTGTAAACTCCTTAAGCGGATGCAGTCACCACATTACCCTCTCAGAACCTGAAACCGCTTCTATTGCCCACAAGGGAGAATCCAAATTTCTAAACACGGCACCGCGGGCTCCATGGCTTACCTCTGCTGCCCCTCAAGGCCACCTCCTTCCCTCCCCAGATCCCTGCATGGACCTCACAGACAACCTCCTGCCCCTCCCTGATCCTGTGCACATCCTATCTCCTCCTCATCGTGCAGGCTGTGCCCAGGACAAGGCCCTTCTTCTCCTCCTCTGCCAATGAAAGCCCTCCCTGAGCTCCCTCATCCTCTGGCAGTGCCAGCCTTGCCCTGGAGGGCTCCTGACACGCAGAGCATGTGGCCTCCACAGCTTGCTCAGTGCAGATGTGGAACCTGCACTCTTGTCAAGCTAGCCTTATATAGCACCAGAGGCCAGAGGTGCTCCCCAACCCCTGCCCACCATTCCCTGCTGCACAGCACATGACCCCACTGCCATTCCCAGACCACCATGCTTTGGACAGTCAGCACTTGCAGCCTCTGGACCCCTGGTCTGGTCCCCTTCGCCATATCAGCACTCATCAAGGGTGGAGCCTGGTCCCTCTGCACAAGCAAGCACAGCCCATGCTGGGTAATGGACTTTAGTGTGCTTCCTTTGGCCTGGCCCAGGTAGAGTTGGGATCTGTGGACTCAGTTCACAGAGGGGGCCTGGAGGTGCCCAGCTGGCTACCGGGAAAGGGAAAGGCCATGTCCTTATGAAGGGCAAAAACCAACTACTTTGAGGCTTTGAGCTTCATGGGTTGATGTGGGAGTGGGGGTAGGGTGAGGCTGGGACAAGGTAGGGCTTCTTCCTCTCTGCAAGGCCCCCTGCTCTGCCCTTCTCCCCTCCTTAGGCATCCCTGCAGATGGCCATGGTGCTCAGCCCTGCACTATGTGCTGGGCTAGGGGTCCCTGCAGGCTTCTAGGCTAGCCAGTGCCTTCAGAGCCTTGGGGAGGCTTTGGTCAGGTCTGGGTCAGGCTCAGATCAGCAAAGAAGAAGGGAGAGGCATGCCAGGAGGTGTATAATAGTGCAGGGTGGTAGGTGGGGGGTGGGACAGTGGTTTGGATGGCCAGGGAACAGATCCCTGGGCTTGTAGGCAGAGCTTGTGAGTGATCGGCTTGACCTCCAGCTTATGGGTGAAGGCATGCAGGATTTAGGTGGGGCTAGAAGAACATAATGATGTGATGCTATTAGTTAACCTTTGTTGAGCACCTACTATGTGCCAGGTATCAATCTAAACATGCACATTGATGCATATGAGATAGGTATCATTGTCATGCTTCCTTTATAGGTCAGGAGCAGAGAAACCAAATATCTTGACCTTAGGCCATTTATAAGGTTTCTCTTGTAAACAGGGATGATAATAATCACCCACTAAGTGGAGGGAGCTGGATTTGATCTCAGGCATCCAACCCCAATGCTCAGGCTCATCAACAAGGACTATGAATGCCCAGCTCAGTCATGTGACTTTAGCCAGCAACAACAGGGAGTACTGAAGGATCATGGAAGAGCTCAGTCTGGTCAGAGCAGAGTCTAGGATACCTGACAGCTTGGGAGGCCAGCCAAGCCGGGGCCATGGGCAGCTTGAATGCTGCACACTTCATCCCTGTTGGTCGTACCTCAGGGTGAACTCTGAGTGCCCTGGCTCGGTAGCTGCCTTCACCAAGGGCTCCTGAAAAATAGCCCCAAAGCCAGTGCGGAGTGGGCAGACTGCAGCTCCTGAGGCAGCCCACAGCATGCCTGCTCAGCCAGGTGGCTGGGAGCAGGCCTTGATGCAGGCTAGAGGCAGGAGGGTGGAGGCCTGGCACACTCCTTTTCAACTGGGCAATGCAAGGAAAGAATGGCTCCCTGGGCATCACTGCCCTCGTCACCTCCAGGCAGGAGAGGCAGATTGTGAGGAAGCACTGAGGCCTTGCCATCACGTGCAGGCTCTGCAGGGCCCAGGAGCCCAGCACTGCCCAACAAGGAACCAGGTCCTGGCTCATTAGACAGGGTGAAATGGGAGCAGGACAGCAGAGAGGGAAGCCAGGTGGCCTTGCAAATGAACTCCCTGCATATAAGTAGCTGATCAGTCAAATGCTGACAAGTTTATCGTGTAAGGCAGAAAATGAACACTACACCCAAGCTCATCCACCATGACTGTGGCCCAAATGTAATGGAAACACGGGACAGCAGGCTGAAGGCACACGGCAGGAGCCATTTGTCTTGTGGCATCCTCATTGAGCACATCGAGGCTCCTTTAAAGTGGTGAATCAATCTTCCTCAGGGAGCCCTGCTTAACAGTGAGAGATGGGGATTGAGTAATAGGAGGAGCTTGCTCTGACACCCACGCCCAAGGAGGGAGCTGACAGCTTTGGTAGTGTGGAAATTCCAGAGGCCAGGAGGCCTTGGGGAGCCCTGAGGCTAGCGTTAGAGGTTGGAAACTTACAGGCTGAGACTCGGGTGAGCACAGATAAAACAGCACCTGGTACCTCTGTGCAGGGCTGCAAGACTCAGGTGCAGTTCTTTAATGTGCACTACTGTGCACAAGTACCCCCAGACATACACCACCCTCTCTGGGACACTTGCCTTTGCTTGCTGTGATTTATTCCCTGAGGAGTTAGCACAAGTCAGATTTCTATGCCATGCCCATCCTCCTTCTCACAGTCCAGGAGATGGATGAACTGGGCTCTTTCTCGGGGGCTTAGACCTTCTTAACCTTTCCCAATCCCATCTGAGCATCTTTCCTCCCCAGATGAAGGAGTACGTTCTTCTTTTGGGAGGTAAATCTGCCATTGCACATCTCATATTCTTCCCGACTCTGTGGCCTAGGGGGTGATCTTTATGCTGTTGGTCCTCAGAGACTATGAGAATTCAGACAGAAGTATTTCTTACTCTTGCAAAACAGAACTGCTTTGACTTCAGTTACATCAGGCCCCTTTCAAGAGCTCTGGATGGAGAGTCTTCCGATTCCAGGAACATACACTTTTCCCCATTCTTCCCCCTAAAAACT